ATATTAATCAGCAGGTTCTATACTAACCACTCGTGTTAATGTCATATTATCATCGACTTGTCTATTTGTTATCGGTGGACTTCTTGGAACGTCGATAGGACGTCTTGGTGAACCAGCTCTTCTTGGTCGTGTCACCACTTTTTGTGGAGCATTTGAATATAAATTACGTTGATTATTTGCTGGTAGAGTATGACTTGGTTGAAATACATTAACTGGACGACGATAAACATCAGTTTCTGAACTTTGTCGAATATTTGGTAAAATAGTACGTGTATTAGGTTGAACAGGTCGTCGAGTACTATTTATTAATCCTTGTTTTACAGGATTTTCTCTATCCATATCTAGTGAAAGATTTGAATCGTTACGTTCTGTATAAGGACCAACAGGTGTTTCTGCCGTAAGATCATTGGGTTGTATTAGTTGAATTGATTTAAGTATATGAGGTGGACCAGGTTGTCGAGGTTTTATTGCTCGACGTACACCGCGTGATGTTTCAAGTCGTTGTTGTACTGGGTTTTCATATAATTGACTTAGTGAACGAAGACTTTCAGATGGAAATGTTGGTGGTGTAAAAACATCAGGTAAAAATGCTTGTTGTACAGGTGTTGGATGTTCAACACGACTTTCATATAATTCAGGTATAAGATCAATATATTGACTTTTAAATGTTTTCCATTTTTCAGTACGTTTGATTTTTTCTGCATTCCGATTGATTAAATTTATACATGCTGCTTTAAGTGCTTCTGAACCAGCTTCATGTGCACATATTAACATTTCAATAGCATTATCAACTGTAAGACGATACAAAAGAAAATCAGCTATTTGTGTTTTTAATTTTTCTAATTCAAATCGTTTTGCAGCTATTAATAAATCAGGTGCATTTTTTAAACTAATTAAACAACGATTTGTATACATAAAATTTAATATTTCATTCATCACTTCTGAATTAATATCATCAATACTTATTTGCAAAACATAATCATCATTATTATTTGCTTCATGATATTCAGAAAGAAGATGACGAAACCATGGTGATCGTCCACCTATCAGAAAAAAAAACAGAAAACAATTCAAAGAATTCTTTTGTTTCTATTATAATATAATTATTCTCACCAAGAATACATCGATGTACTTGTAATTTAATATCATCTTGACACTGAATTAATGTATCATAAAATAATCCATTTCTGAGTACACTAAATAAATCTCCTTCTAATTCATTAAATCCATATAAATTTCGTTCATTTTCAACTTGTTTTTCTCTTGCAGTTGATAAACCATTTTGATCATATATAATAGTTGAGGGTGCTGTTTGAGACGTAGAACTTCTTAATGAATATGAATCATCAATTGTTTGAATACCTGAAGTTTCGGAAACATCCCGTTTTATTCCATATTCATCAATACTTATCATATTTTGATTTTCAGCTATTGATTTATACGTATTTTGTTCACTGTCACCACGATTTTGTAAACGTAAATGATAATAAATTCGTTCTCGTTTACAATAATAACGTATCACAAATGTTGAACTATTACAAAATGGACATAAAACTCGAAATCGAACACGACCTGTTGTTGTTGGTTTTTGTTGTTGTTTTCGATATGGTACAAGCACACCCGGTGGTTGTTTACCTTGATTATCAATACTTATTCCATTAGTTATATTATTTGTTGGTACTGGATCAGGTAAAGTTTCATCCGTAATTTGAAATGGAATTAATGAACGACATCGTTCACAATGAAGTGATTCAAATAGAAGATATCCGTGGCAAGTACAAATTGTTTGAATTGATATAAACATTGTTGATAAAAACAAAGTACGGTTGTTGTTGTGGTGGTGGTCGTGGTAGTGGTGTATCTATCCTTGGTTGCTATTGTTTAGTGAATATGTGAATGAATGCGACACAAAAAAATGAAAATAAAACTTGTTCTCTATTTCAACATTCCCTTATTTCTTTTTTTTTCTTTTTATTTGTTGATTGTTAATATAATTTTATAAGGTATCTTTTTTGCGATTTCAATTTAAATATGAGTACTAGCATGCTTCATACTAAAAGAAAAACATAGAAAATAGATATCCTTAGTTGATTTGATCGTTAAGTAGAATGATTTTAGTTTCATATGGTACGATTGGATTAACCGTTCAAGGTTATCTTTCATTATTTCCATTTCATATCATATGTATTACGAAATATTTTTTGTCAACATACATTCTGTATATATATTTGACCTATGAATAGAGTTGAATGTTGTTTTTTTTTTAATTTTATTAAATTTTTTCTTATTAAATCGACAACACTGGCAAAATATGATTCATCTATTATGATTTCCTATAAAATTACTAATAGTTTCAAACTAAATTCTATAATGTTTATTCATAAAGAAAATTTTATTTTAAGAATAGTTTTTGAAGAAGTTTTCAAATAGTATCAAATATAAGAAAACATTCAATTCTGCAAAATACGTATATCGATTATTATTGTTTTTATATGAAATTTATTACCACGCGGATTATCAGAATAATTCGAAATATTTTATGAAGCATGATCTAAAAGAAGTGCGAAAATATAGAGGATAAAAATTCTTCCGTTTCACAAGCATTATAAATATCTCTAACAACATCTCTTCTTTATCGTAGACCGTGACAAATATTGTTGATATACGATCAAAGACTATATATCAATAAGATCTTGTTGCATTTATGGAAAATTAAATAACAAGATGGTGAAGAAACATGTCTCGAAATAGATAGAATAAAACAATTTCACTGTGATTAGCAACAGTAGCTAGTTCGTGTTTTACATTTCAATTTTACAAGGATTGCGCTAACAATTTAAATATTTGCTTGATCGCTATTAGGTACTTCTTGGATGAGTCACGAAATAGTTTAATTGAAAATAATGAAGTCTAGTGACAAAATCTGACATGCTAGCATATCTCAAATTTTCCTACAGATTTAATCGTTAAGGATCAAAACTTTATTTGCGCGTTGTTTTATTTGGAAATTAATCATTATCATTAATAAATTGTTCTTTATCATAAATTATGTTTATCAAAAATACAGAACGCTTATTATTTATTCGTTATATTACAAATCAAGTTGAATATTATTTTAGTTAAATAACTCAATTTTATTTGATATATTAATTAATCATATAATAGTTATCTACTAAAAACAACTGTTAGTGCAATTCTGGTGGGATTAAAATATTAAACACAATTGATCTGCATGTATTGTAAATTAAAGAATTTTACAACATATGATTCAGTTTGTGGGTTGCAACTTACTGATATGTCTGTAATGAAAGGTTTTTTCTGTAATATATTAGTGAATTACAAAAGAAAACCAAACAGAGGTATTTAAAATTCAATCGTTTTTCATGATAATTCAACAGAAGACTTAAGTTTCGTGTCAAAGTTTGTTTCAACTCATGAAGGATGGAGAGTTCCTAAGGTGTCTCTTGCAGTCTGTGAGGGATTCCAATATTCTACTCCTGTATTTTAATACTCTTTTTAGGTCATGTTTCACTATAACAGTAAGTAAACTATATATGACATCATCATTCAATATTGACACTATTAAGCGATAAAAACAAACAATTGTTTAAACATCTTCTTTTTATCCGATCATCATTATTTGACTTACTGTCCGATTGAGGTTATTTGATAGATTCAATCTAGTTAGATAAATGTTCATGTCAATGATCTACTTTATCTTTATCAAGAAGTTATGGTTCTACTTTAGATTTAATTATTGTGTTAGAGTATTAATTTTTACTAGTTAGATAAATTCAAAGAACCATCGAATAAATTTCATTCGTAAAAAACTTTTTACTCAATAAACAATCGTAAGTTTAATTCACTATTTGTCATTAATTATGATTCATTGTGTAGATCAACATTTTCTGTAGTTTTTTCAGAATCACATATTATTAAAACAATAAATATTATTTGTTTACATATTGTATGATATTGAGCTAATTCAATTTATTAACAATCACATATTTATTTATAAGACTTCTGTTTCATCGCATAGATCTTAGGTTTATGAACAGAAGATTTACACAGTCAGCAAGTTTGAATAATAATCGATTATATTATTCAAACGGTATGTTAAATTAAATATCATTTTGAAATAATAGATAAAATAAATGATTGATCATTATCATGCAAATATTCAAGATATTTTAATAATGATGACCAACAACAAAACAATTCATACAGATGTTCATATAGATACGTACTAACAATATTATTTTTATCAAGTTGATACTATTTGCAACAAAAGATTTATGTAATGTTGAAAATATTATTGACAATCGTTTAGTTTAATTAGATATTTAGAAGTCTTGATTACTTCTTTCTTCTACTTGAAGATAATTAGTTTTAACGAATTTTTCTGTTTTTTTTGTACTACATGTACCGATATTAAAGTCATTGAGTCGAAATAATTAAAAAGTATCCTACGCTAATCTTTGATATTTATTTATTTAAAGCTAGATGAATGTTCTAATAAAAAAAAAACAGAAGATAGACATCACTATATCTGCCATGTTTCAATAATGAATAAATTATATTAAACCTAATGTAAACACCATCCAAAGAAACAGTTGTCTATTAGCTCAAAAGTATTCGAAAGAAATCGAATAAACATAAAAACAAACCATTTATTCCTCGATTATCTTTCAAATCATATATTTAATTTTAATAAACTAAATAAAATATAGTATATTTTCTAGATAGTCTTGTTTTTGATAAATTACTAAGAAATTTACACTGAAATCATCAACGATAAACAATGATCTTCTTCTATTAAAAAAAATATATATAATTTATTCTAATTATTCCTGTTGTTTATTTTGACACAACAACTTCAGTATATTTTAACTTCAGATCAATTAAAACAATCAATCAAATAAATTCGATTGTAAGTTATCATGCATTATAGTTGATTTTTAATATATTTGTTCTATTAAATTTTAGTTCAATCATTGAATATGATTTCACAATTTATTTCTAACAATCCAATTATTCCATCAACAAATACACAAACACCAATAGAAGAAAATAAAATAGAGGAGGAATCTATTCAACCATTATCTAAACCAAATAATTGTGTTGAAAGTCTTTCAATGCCATTGATTAATTTAATACCAACTAAAGATGATCAACATCAATCGAAACTATCTAAAAATAATCCAATTACAAATAATAAGTAAAAATAAAATTAAAAGTTATAATTTATGAAAACCCTAACATCTAAACATTTTTCATTGAACATAAAATGTTTCTTGCTTGAAAATTAATTCTTCTCAAATCTATTTGTTTTAGAAAGCAACATTTTATATCACTGATTTGAGACATAATATTTTCCGTTAAAACAATGATCCAAGATTTTATTATAGAAAACTTTTATCGAAAGTTTTTCCATGAAAATATCGTTTAATTGCGCATTAACCATAGATCAGAAATTCTGAATATAATCTAATTTTAGTTTTTAATTTATAATTCTTGTTACTTATGTTTGAACAATAGAAAAAATGAAAACCATTCATGTCGAAACGAATCCAGTTGACACTTCAGGCATATTTCTATGAAATTGGTCATATAAATCCATTATAACAAACACTATATATATGCAATTAGCTATAGTTTTGGAGGTCTCTATATAGTTATCAATCATGTGATTCGTTCCATTTGATGATTCATTTTAGATCAACTTATGGAAGAAAAAGTCTTGAATTACAAGGTTGAAACTTATTTTGCGTTCTTTTCGCCAATAGGTTTTTCATTTTGATGTTTGCCTGTATTTCAGATTTATCTGCAATTTTAAACGATAGAGACCTAGGCTTAGTTTCAAAATGTAGGCAAAAACCACCGATACAATTTAACACAGTCGGATTTTTCGATTCTCCTTTTCACGTTTACTATATAATTTCTCGTAGTTGATCAAAAGAGCTTTCGAGAAAAACAAAGTAGAAAAAAAAAACCAAGCTCGGTTGATTTGTTCTAGCATGCCTTTGTTACATTTTAAAATTACCTCGAACTTCTTAACATTTGAAATAGCATAGACATTTAACAGACAAGAACAACGATATTTTTACCCATAATCTTAAGCTAACTTTTCATAGACTAATGTATCAAGCTAAAATTTTTACTGTTAGATGTCTAACTCGAGATACACCTCCTCTGACAATTTTATCAAGATTAAATGGTCGAAAAAGTTTTTTATAAGACCTGTTAAAGATATTCGGGACTATCATTCTATTGACAACTATGATAATTCTTTATCACTTTACTACCTTTAGTGTCTTTAGAGTACAGAAACTAAAAGAACTCAAAGGTTAAAGATTGTTTATAGCCGTAATGGTAAAGTTAAACTAGGATAAACTTGATTTCTTGTGGTCCTCTCATTTCTTTCTAGATTATGACAGACAATTATGTCTATGAAATAACTTTCAAACCATATAGTTTTGTTTAATTGTTTTTTCTAGCTGAAATAAGAAACATAATATTTAATACGATAGAAAAATTCTCTTATTTTAATAGACAACAATATATTAAAGTTCCATCTCATGTTCTCACACGACGTTCACCTGAAGCTTACAAAAATTTACGAGCTAAAACGGTACGAATTGGTAAAGTTCGTTGGCCACCACCACTCAATTCAGATGAAATTGATCAGGCCAATCAACAAAGGTCTTCTTCTCTTCATACTTCTATTCATATTAAACAAAAATCGTTCATTTTTTTCTACTTTTAAGACGATTGCTCATACACCGCCGTATTCAAGAAGAAATTCATGGTAATGCGACAATTAGAGAACAATCATCAATCGTACACGATCATGTTCCTATTGAAAACAACAATCTATTTCCTCACAATAATCACGATTTGTCGACAAATGATATTATTGTTTGTAATCAAAAACCATTAAAGTTAATGTTTGTATTGAAAACTAAAGTTGATTCTTTTGTTTTTTAAACTAAATTAATTTTAGACTTGATAAAGAAAATTATCAACTTCGTAAAAATTTATTTGAACATGTCGACAAATCATCATTTTTAGGTATGAATATATCCTTTTCTATTTAATCAGCGATTATCCCTTTATGTAAATAAGGATCATGACTTTATAATGAGTCTATTAATTGTTTTCTTTTTCTCTTTTTTTTTCTCGTTCTTTCTCATCTCAATCGATAGAAAAAGAAAACGAGATGCGTACTGATTCTAATCATGAAGTTGGTAAATTAATAAATTATTTTGAAAATTTTATTAATGATTTAAATAAAGATTTAACACACAATTCAAAAATCAATCATCATCAACAACAAATGCGTGCAATTAGTCAAAATACATCTGATTTATCAATATCATTTACTGATGTTTTTCAACCAATATCAACTATACTACCAACAATAATTGATGAAGAAAATATTCATCACACAAGACGTGATCGAACATTTTCAGAAGATATTTATGATCGTTTGACATATCAAACATTACTTAATACAAATTCATATTCAAGTCATGAACAATTAACTCAATCATCAGTAAAAAGTACAAAACGACGACATCATTTTAATAATCCTACAAATAAAAAACGTTTATATCGTCGTCGACCACCAAGTTATATTAAAGAATTAAAAGCTTATTTAGCTCATCGAGAATCATCATTAAATGATATTGTTAAAATATCTGATGTTAAAAAATTTAGTAATGTTCTTGTTTGGTTATCAAATCAAACAACATCACCATCTTTAATTGAAACATCAACACCAATATCTTTAATAAAAACAGACAATACAGATAATAATAATAATAATAATAATCATTTATCATCTATTACTACAGATTCTGTTATTGCTATTACACAAGATATTTCACAATCATATTCAGGCGTGATATTCTTAAACTATTTTTGTTTTTTTCTTACTTTAATAACACAAGTTTTATAAATGTTTTTTTTAAATTTTCATTTATTTAGATCCTCTTGCAACATTTACTGATGAAACAAATACAAGTAAATTATCAACAAGACAATCACTTACTTATTATACTTATAATAATATTCCATGGAAATTAAAAATTCGAAAAGAGGTAATTATTTAATATCAATTATCTAAATAGACCTGATTTTCTTAGACTTAGCCTACATAATATTGAAAAATAGTATATATTAATCGAGAAAAGACCACTAGGAAACTAACATATTAGCATGGAGGCAATACTTTGTTTTTGAGTAAGAATATTTTCAATGATTTTGATAAAGTCTTATAGCTCTTTTTTAAACTAATCGCTGAGAAATTTGGTATTACATGTAGTTGTGTCTAGTCGAAATAATGAAAAAAAAATCATTTTTTTATCTTGCAACGGCAAAAATACTTGTCTGTATAGTTTAATACATATATATTCTGCAGAAAAACTTAGATTTTTTAATTGAAAATTTAAAGAAATATCACAGACAGACAGCTTACTCTACTTGTAATAAGTCCTCAAAATCATTGATTGTGTCTGCATCAAGTAAGCAGGCGGTCAATCTTAATGGCTTGCTTGAATCATAGATAGTTACAGCAAAAGTATAAAATAGAAGTAAAAGATTATCGAAATTTCTACTACTTTGATTATCTGGTAACACATTACTCATATATATCAGTCCTGAACTCGTAGATGATAAAAAAATTTCATAAAATGTTAAACCATTCCTAGAACATGACATTCCTTATCTTTTAACACTCATTAACTAATAAAAATGTATCTAATTATTTGCTTCCATAAGCTTCTTCTGTTATTGGAGAATATAAATTTGTGACATTCAGCTAATTGCATTTATTTTGTATGAATAATAATTATAACTCATTCTATGATAAATAGGTATTTTCACCTGCTGAAACATTTGAACAACCACTTCTAATTGAATTACTTTATTTACAAATTGTACATGATATATTTTCATCAGTATGTGTTCGTATAAGCGAAGCAGAACGAACAAATATGAAGACATTTCTATGTAAGTGAAAATAATTTGAACGAAATCAAAACATTAAATAAAATAAAATCCTTTTTATTTAGCTTCTCACGGTGTTGCAACTATTGGTGATATTAATTTAATAAAAACGTCATCAGCAAAGAAAGATATCATTGAACAAGCACGTCAATGGCCAATATATTTTTGTCGACTTTTTCCGATTACTGTACGCATATTCAATGATAGCATAAATCTATGTGATTGTTTCTCTTTATTTTAGACTATAAAATCTCATTTAAATGAAGAACAATTGCTAGGTATATCACATTCTGGTATTCGATTAATTAAACGAAGTCAAACAACAACTAACCGAGACACATTACAAGTACTTGAAACATTTCCGTTTGAAACAATCCAATATGTTTCGGCAATTCGAAATGGTTCATCTATTGATTTAAGTTTAGTGAAAAAACGTATTACTATTTGTTCACAACGGGTAAGCTGTCTTTTCGATAATAGAAAAAGAAAATGATTTTTTCTTGAAAGTCAAACTTGTACGAAAAATATTTCTCAATAGAACAACAAATATCATAAAGATTATATTTTAATTTTTCTTTTGATAATTTCTGAGCTTATTTTTATGATAAATAGATCCAACGAGTCAAACAAATGATTGAAAATTTTTTGCAAGAATCTCGAACTGATGGAAAAAAACAGTCTCACGCATGTAATCAAGTAAGTTGAAAGCATTGAAAAACAAACTAAAATTGTTACTTGAACTTCCAATAGACAGCCGCCGAACGAGACACCCAACACGAGTTGTAAAGATCCGATAGGGTAGTTTGAGAATTGTTGATTATTAGATAGTAAAGATATTCAATTCATTCATTCTGCTTATGCCAACAATATGCATATGAGTATAAACAAAAGATCGATGATATTTTTCAACAATTATAACAAGTCCAGAAAGATCAATCTCATTATCGGAAACGACGAAATACTACCTTAGATTCCATGCTATAGTTACTGTAATTCTTTACCTCGTTTTACAAGACGTTTTCACGGACAACAAATTATGGCGACGTAATGTTATTGTTTTTTACTGTTTTACATCGTCTATGGCGCCGTTGTCTTGAACTACAGTATGAGTAAAATGCCATAAGAAACGTGATTTCCAGTATCTGTATCATTTTGTTTGAAAACTATTTGTTTAATATATAGCTTAATTATTGATTTACGAAACGTTGAAGACGATTCAACACTTTTGTTATACACTATAATTAAAAGATTCTAGTCAACTCTTCTTAAAAAAATCTCTACGGAAATTTTTTGAAAAATTGAGAATTTGCGAAGAACTCTATAGCAACTCACTATGGATTTGATAGTTAATTCTCGAATTTCTACGATGAGCATCACGATTATTGCAAACATGTGTAGACGATGATATTTCTCATCATATTCAAATGTGACTCTTGTCAGTGAGGATATGAGTGAATTTTCCCTTTTTCGACAGTGAAAAAATGTATATCATTTGTTTTTCAAACTGATATTTATTTGAATTAGCTGCGAAATTCGCCGCATACAAGTTATGCCCATTTTCTAATAAACTCCTCAGGAAACACAGCGAAGAACGACTCGGGCTCGATGAAAAGTTTAAATATTGGAATGAATACATCTATAGTTAGTTTATCATACTCGAGCATAAAAAAAGGACTTTTGGAAATCAAGTCGAACTTTGTAAAATATTTCGATTAAAAAACTAACTCATCAATTGGTAATTGTTGAGAAATCATTTCTATTCTATCGAATACAAATTATTGATCCTTAAATTTTTATATATGAAAAAAATGATTTCAATCCAACCAAAAATAGAGTTGAAAATAACTGATTATTTCGGCCGAAAACCTATTAAACTAGAGGGTTCTAATCCACTTGAGCTCAGAGTTTCAGAAAGTTTTCTTTCGAACAGCAATATCCAGCGTGAAGTGAGTTAAGAGCTTCTCAAATCAACGTATTTTTCTGTTCTAAATGTCTGTTTCTTTTGCTCTTAAAATTACATTTTAGCACAAAACGAAGACGATAGTTGTAATCTGCGCGCAAAACTCCATTGAATAATGTGCTCAATAATACATAGTGTCACGAATGTAGTTCGTAGCAATTTTTTTTACAACATAGTTTGTTTTCTCTGTGAAATTTCTCAGTAACTTGCAAGAAGTTTACTTTTTGTTCTTAGTCTCTGGAAATTGGAGACTCATGAGATATATCATAGAGTTTTATTTGGACTTTATTCGAGATTAAATCAGTTTTAATACTTATGAAACATTTCAAATATATTTCTTTTATCTATCCATTTCTTTCTCTAAAAGAAATTAACTCTACCTCCATTATCCAATACAAGTGATTTATTTAAATCATCAAGTCAAACTAGTTTAATGAGTTATAGTCAAACATTCAGTGAATTAATTCCATCAACATCATTAGAAATTCATACACCAAAACCGACTAAAAATGATATTATACTTCCAACTTTATCTGTATTACCAACAGGACATTCAATGATGGAATTTGCTCTACAAAATTTTAAAGTTCCAAATAGACGGTAAAATATTAAAAATCTTTAGTGAAACATTGTTTAAGTTATTTTTGTCATCTAAAAGACGATCGAAAAAAGGTTGGAAAACATCAGGTAATGTTAAATTTCTTTTGTATCTGAAATAAATCTATTTATTTTTATCAGAATGGACGTGGCAAGATTATGCTGAACTTATTAAATGGTCTAAAGTAAGTTTATTATACTAGGTAGAGGATGTCTCAGAAATCCATACGGAAAGTTTGCGTAAAAAAGACTTGTTAACACAGCCCTTTTGGAGCTAAAATGTAGAACCTATACGTGTTCTTTAGCATCATTATACTAATAAAAATACGAAAAGTGAAAACTCTCTCTAAGACAATAGTTGCTTTTCAAGAATAATCCTGTTGTACCAGTGTTTTATCCAGTGGGGGAGGGGGGATGGGCATGGGACATTTCCCCCCCCCCGGAGACCGCGTTTGCCCCCTCGAGAAAAATGAAATAAGTTTTGAAAAGATCAATATAACTGTTCTAAAACTATTTTTTACGGCAGATTTTGAGAATTGTTAATAAATCTAATGTTGTTAAAATAGAATCAGTATTTTATCTAGCGTGGGGACAGGATGGACCACATTCTCCCGGAGATTGTGTTGGCTCCCTTCGGAATAATTTGAAATATCTTTCAGAAAGAAAAAAGATCAGTACAGCTTTTCTACAACTTTTCGTTCGATGAAAATTTGCACGAAATGTCATGTGACCAAAAATGAACAAAATCATTTACTGTAATAGAAAAATAACACATACAATATTGCAATGAAAAACAAATACCGAAAAAAGTAGTATTCTTCATAAATGATGACTCTCAATAATTATAGTTCGTTGTTCTTGGTATATCTCTACTAGTCTAGAGTTTTAACCAGTTGTAATGGTGGCGAGCAGTACCTATTATCGATTAATTAAAAGGGCTCTATAAAGGACTGTTATGTGACTAAAAACCTATTGTCATAGCTGCAATTGCTGTAGTTTCAATAGGCTTGAGTCACTTATAATTCGCCATATGCGTGTTTTATTTAACACCGATTTAGGAGGAAGACCGACATGCCATAACAATTACGATTCAACTCATATCGTAGGAAACGATCGAAAATCGTCGGTTAATTCTGATTACTTTTGTGATCGACAGTTAACCGTGATTATTTCCTTTGCTCTCAATGTTTCACAGCGTAAAAAATGACGATTGACCACGGTCAACCAGGAGGTCCGCCGTGGTTAACCGTCGGTTTTTACGCTGTGAAACTTTCAGAACAAAGGAAATAACCGCGGTTAACCGTGGGTCACAATAATAACCAGAATTAACGGATGATTTTCGATCGGTTCGTATGACACAGGAACCTCGTGTACACTATTATTGTGTCATTAGAGATCCTAAGAAATACGTACATGATTTATTATTTACAGTTGCTGAGCGAAAAGAATGAAGCTAGTATTTTTCTTGTCTATTCTTTGATTTATGTTTGATCTCCATTAGAAAATCAGTGTCATTCTATACTATAATGTATTTCTATTTCTGGGCAGAATTTTTCAAAAAAAAAGTTCTGGACTACTGTTCACATCCATATTGTTTTCAACATTTTTTCGTTGAATTTTTTCCGGTCAAACACGTGTTTTGCTGAATATAATTCAATGATAATGCTTTAGTAATTTAAATCCGCGTCGAACTTTCTCGTTGTACATCACTATTTCGAAATTTTTCAACGATGCAGGAATTTTCTGGTTAAAAGTTGAGAAGAGGAGTATTTTCATTGTTACTGCTTATTTTATCTTTCGGAAAATATCAAGATAAGAAAATCGCCTTAAAAACCTGTCAACTGCGAAAACTTTCGCTTGCCCCCCCCCCCTCCCCCGTGAACTGAATTCGCCCTCCCGGAGCAAAAAAACCTGGATAAAACACTGTGTTGTACATATCCATTATATCTATACCAGGCCTCAACGTACTATTATATATCTCCATAAGCTCAAAAACACTTATTAATGCACTACTACCTATCATCTTTGTCATCTTGAATATAAATGTTTATCCGTACCAAAATCAAAAACTTCACTATTTGGAACATTCACAAACATGTTCCAGCTATTCGAATTTCAAGAAAGGCTTTGGAATATTCTACAGTAGACTAAGTATTGTTGTTAATGTCATTTGGGACATTTTTTCAATGCTATGGAATCCTACTGAATGAACGTCGTCTTTATTCCCGTCTCAAAACCTCGATTTAAAAGTTAAACTCACTATATTTTGATTCAAAACACATAAATCATACACATAGGTTATCATTTAAAATTCATTAATATATCATTTAAATAAAAAGAGAATTCGTTCGAAAAAAAACAAATTCTCTTGGTTGTTGCCATTTGATGAAATGAAACAGATTGTTACAATAACTCGACCAGTTAACCCTTAAGAGCAGAATGTCCCTTCCAAGGAACATTGCGAAAATTTCAATAAAACATGCAGTAATACTCTGTATACAATATTATTTTTTTTCTTCGACTTAAATGATCTTGTGGCTCATAAAAAAAGAGAAAAAGAAACTCTGAGTAACTGTCAGAGGAAACAATATGTTTTTTTAGGCTTGTGATTTTTTAAGTGTCAAATTTTCATTTTGAAACATCTTTTTATTGCTGAAAACGAGAAGAAAGTCTGTTTTTTTAAGCGGTATCGCGAGGTACATGGTTAGACTATCGTAGAATACCATCCCACAATGTTTTCATTGATCAATTGATGCATTGTGACCTCTTAAAGGAAATGTCCCTTGGAAGGGACATTAGGTCATAACGGACCAAAATATCCGAACAGTCTAAGAATTGTTAAAGTAATATTCGAGCGATTTTTTGGTTATTTTTGATCTTAATAAGGCCTACCGTGAGCGGAGAACCACGGAAGAGGACACCTACTCCCTCCAATTGTCGGAAATTTTCGATGATCCTTAAATTTTCTTCACTTGTGGTGGAGATACTAGCCTGGCTTTAATTCTGAATCCGTCACGGTAGTCCTGGTTCTACTCTTGTAGAGCATTTAATAACCACTTCGACGGTGAAGTAAAACCACTAGCACAAGTATAAGATGATCGTTTTCTCATAGCTAATATTGACTCGCCGATACTTGGATGACCCCATGAGCAAGCATAATAATGAAACAGAAAGTGCGTAAATGTTGAAAAACTGCGAAATATTGCTTCAATTGATCGTTCGTGTATCAAAAAATACATAAAGAAAAGTATTCGGTCAAAAAAACTCTTTTCACATAAACTAAGAATAGTGAAAAATTTGGATCGTTAAGACCCAATGTCCCTTGGAAGGGACATTTTATATCTCCGTAAGAAAAAAAAAATTTTTCTTTTTTACTATAAATAATTCTTATTGAGGTCTTAGAACTTCTAGTTCAGTGGTTAGTTTTTTCAATTTGTGGTGATACGACCTTTCGGCTCTTAAGGGTTAATATTAGTCCATTTCCCTAAGTATCATGAGCTTTGTTGATTTTTTCTTCTGTAATTGTTTATAGTCTTTTCGATTATTGTTCATTCACTATCATACTAATTCTACAAGCAAAAGCATTGAAAACCATTTTTAGTACAGCCTATTTCAGACCTTTGTATATCAAATTCCTTTTGTATTTTTCCTTGCACAATAATAACTGTTCATAAGTTATTCATGTAGACTTTTCGTACGGACTGTTGAGATATTCTGAAAGAAATGATTTATATGAATTTTCAGAGTCCAATTCAAACACCACTTCTTCGACGATCATCAAACGATCCCACTCGTATTGTACGACAATGTTTTCTTTGTAAATTTTTATTTTTCTTTAAAATTGTAATTTAAAAAATTTTTTACATTTAGCTATTATGCGTTATATGGGTGATTATACTATGACACGAGGTCAAACTGATATTGATTGTCTTATCTATCTTCTTAAAGTATTAATTATATTATTCATTTTTAATTAATAAAAATTCGTTTCTTTTTAATAAATAGAATACACATAAACATCGAACGTTAATTGATGAAATTTTATGTCAAATTATAAAACAATTAACAGATAATAAAAGTATAAAAATTGATAGTGTACAACGTGGTTGGAAATTACTTGCAATTGTACTTAATTATTTTATTCCAAGTGAACATTTACAACCATATTTTATAAAATATCTTCATGATAATCGAAGTAAAAATGAAAAATTAGGTAAAAATTTTTTTTGTTTATTTATTTATCTATTTATTTTTCTTCGTAGTACAATTATGTTTAAATCATTATGAGCAAACATTAAAATATGGTGGACGAAAAAATACACCAAGTAAAGCAGAAATCGGTCTTTTAGCAGCTGTAGGAAACATTGCTTGCTTTGTAGGATTTTTTTTTCTTTTGAATTTCTTTTTAGAATGGCCAAAATGGAGGAAAAAATCAGACATTTTTATTACCAGGTGGATTTTCATTGACTCTATTGGCAACACCATCGATGGTAAAGAGAAAAGATAGACTATTTATCCGAAACTAGCATCATATCAGTTTCGTAATATAAGTCAGTTAATACTGAGTTTTCCTAAAGTCAAATGAATAGAATATAAAACATAAATAGATTATGTTCATCTTATAATGTATGCGTCGAAAAGTTTTCGACAAAATGTTTCTTCATTTTTCAACTGATTAAGATAGTCAATAGAAAGTATGAAACATTTACTGAGAATTAGAATTTTGTGCTCTTACTGGAATCTACATTTAGAATTTTTCTGAGATTCATAAGTCACAAGTAAAAATGTATGAGAACACTAGAAAAGAATTTTCCTAGATCGAAACTAGGACCAGAGTATTTGGTTCCTCACACATCTCCAGTGACGAATTATGAGCAAATCTTTGACAGGCTTGAAAATCAAATTTGGACGATTTTCGATCTTTAATAAGACATCCAGGATAGATGGAATAGTGACTCTAAATACGCTAATAGAAAGAGCAAACATTTCGCTACATAAGAAAAATCCTAATCATCAGTTAAACTCTCAGTTCTTAGCTAACTGTAAAGAATCTCGACCTTTATTTCTGCAAAACATCGCTAATACAATGTATGCAATAAGGGATATCATTATTGAGAAGGAAGTCTATTATCCAGATAATGGTCCAAAAGACTTCAAAACGTGATGTAGTCAAGGTAAAAGAAAAAGTGAAATTAAACGAAATATGCGTTTTTACAAAAGAAACGGTAAAAGTCATTGAACAACACCATGAAACCAATTTCTAAGAGGATACGATCGTATTCTCCGTCTCAGTTCAAACTTTATCTTCAATTCTTTCAAAGATGTGCTTAGAAGTCATCACCCATGAGTCTCATAAAAATTCTGAATATAGATTTGGAAAGAGCAAGAAATTGTGACTCTCACCAAAGGTTTAATACTTTCTGCTGATTTCGTTAATCAGTCGAAAAATTTTCGATGCTTTCATTAGAATGGTTAAATATTCTTGAAACTAGGTTTAAGAGAATTGAAGCAAGTTTTTCATATATTTATCATAGGTGAATTTTTATATTTTTCTTGTACAGGTAATGGATGATTGTCTTAATTTACTATGTGAACGTCTTAATATATCAAATACATTAGAAAATGATGAATATTCAATTTTTATTGTGATTACCTCAGGTAAATTTTCTTTTGTTTCAAATTTAGATGCTTCAATGTCTTCTCTTTTTTTTTTCTTTAAATAGGACATTCATCTCGTTTATTAAATCCAGCCGAATATCTTTTTGATATTATAAGTGAATGCGCTCGAGCAAATATAATTGATTTTCATTTGATTATTAAACGTATGCTTTGGTTCAATATTCCATTCGTATTTAATAATAATAATCAATCAGAAATGTTCATTAATTTTATGTATCATCAACTTATACCTGAACTACTCGAAGGAACAATGATCATTCTAAATAATAATCATCTTTCTGATAAAATTATGGTAAAAAAAAACAAAGATTTAGTTGAACTATTCAAAATATTTTTACACGACTTATTATAGCAAGAAATTTCATTAATGGCTGCTCTTCAATATCGTGCTTCAAATAAAATTGGTCTACCATCTATGTATGTGAATTTGTAAGAGATTTATATTTAATATTGCTCTTATGTGGTTAGGAGAGAAGTTAAACATCTTCTTCCAGCAACGGTATTAAAATTAAAAAGTGTTCGTCCTCAAGAATGGACAGCAGCTATTCATGACAGACTTTGTGCATTTGTTGAATCAATGTCAACCATTGAAGCGAAAATTAAATTTTTAAGTAATTATAATAATCATCTTTCCTATTTTTATTTTTGAACATATTGTACTTTGTTTAGATCTTATAAAAACATGGCCGTTATTTGGTACGACATTTTTTACTGTTCAGGTCTATAATTGATTTAAATTGTGACTCATTAATATTTTCTGTTTTCTTTAGTCTGTTGATGATCCATCGATTCGATCACCATGTTTAATTGGTATTTACAAAAATGGCATTTTGTTTCTTGATTTAGATACTCGAGTAAGTTAATAAAATTTTTTTAGCACTATTTTTTGTTACATAACTATAGGAAACCTTGTTTACAATTCCATATGATAATGTCGTATCAATTCGTCGTCATCAAGCAACAATCGATATAAAGTATGGTAGTTTAAATCAACCACATATTCTTCAATGTCAACTTGATAGAGTAAGTTTTCTATTGAAAATTAAATAATCGCAAAACAATTGGTATGTATTGAATTAGGCTCAAGATCTCGTAGCATTAAGTGGGCGTTATTTAAGTTTGATTGGTCGAAGTTTAACATCAGCATTGGAACGAAAGAGTGATACTCAGCAAATACATAGATCATTAACATCGACATACGATGATCCGATTAGTACACTATTGTAATTGAAGTTGTTACGTTGTTTTGTTTTTCCTTTCATTAATATGTAAATAAATAAATAGACAAAAAGTATATGAGTTTCAACAGATTACGTATAACACTGAAAAGTTAAATTGAATAAAAGTATTTTTATTTGCAGAGGAATCAATAAATTTTCCAGTATGAAATGATTGATTCAGACGAAAAAAAGATGTTAAGATAATCAATAAATCGTATCGGCTTGTTATCTATTTCGAAAATATCTCTTCGATTGAACGCAAGAAAACTATTTTTCTGTTCACTAGTTATTGTCCTCATTTGCTCGTATTAGCTTGAAGCATTTTTCAACGTCTTCATGAAATGAATAAACTTATCAAACTTCAAAAAAGAATAAACTTTTATGGTTGAATAAAACTGTAGTTTTCCAGGTATATTTGTATCTAATTTCTCCACATATCAGATCTGCCGGTCATGTTTAAATTCACAAAGTTGCCCGCAGGCAAAATTCGATCGACTGATGTGCTTCTGATTTTGCGAATGCGTTTAATATTACAGCTTTGCAGTAATGTATCATTCTAGTTTCAGTTGTTCACTGAATTTATTTTTATAAAGATTAAATAATAACAAGTATTCACACGAAAGAGCAAATTAATACTGAAAGATCGTAATGGTAAAAGTTTTTCATACAAGCAAGATTTCAATTAGCTCAATGTCTTTGATCATATCAGTTCCTGTTTACGCATTGTTGAAAAAAAATGTAATCATGATAAATAAAACAACATATGATGACACACACAGCGAAAATATAAGAAATATGTCGTACTTGTAAAACTTACAAGACAATTGACATTAGACAATCAATTTTTACAACAGCACAATCACAACATTTACTATTCTACTGTTTTGGTCTGATTAATATTCAATGCGGATGTAAAGTGGATAGATGAATGTGCGAGTGCACGAAGAGAAGATGCATGCCAACAATCATGGTTGAAAGGCTTCTTTTTTTTTTGAACTTTCGCTTTCTTTATTCTTAGTCAATATATAGAAATGCTCTTGCAGCTCGATTAGTTTATGTTCGTTTGATGTTTGATCTCATGTTACAATGAAAATCGCAGTCACCACAACTGAATGACTGCGTTGTTCAACATATATCCGTAAGATGCTGCGTTTAAGTCTCAGTATCATCAGCTATGGAATGACCTTGGACAATACACTTACGGCTACTTGTTGCTAGAGCCCGTCGGGTCCAGAATTTTTGGACCCGGACCCGGACCCGGACCCTGGCCCAGGATTTTGGACCCGGACCCGGACCCGATCATTTAAAATTTTTCTACCCGAATCCGGACCCGGACCCGTTTACAGGTTGCTGCACCCGGACCCGGACCCGGTCGCTTAAATTTTTTGGATCCAAACACAATGACAAGTCAGTTTAGATAGTATAGTCAAGAAGGGTTTTGTTGTTTTTTATCTATTTTCTAAATACATTTGATCTCTTCTTTGTATAAAACGAACAAAACTTTAAAAAAATTCAAAATAAATTGTATGGATCAAAGTTTTCTTCAGACCTGGATCCGGTTAACGCAAAATTTTCAGGCCCGGACCCGGTCAAAATAAAATTTTTGGATCCGGACCCGGCCAAAGTAAAATTTTTGGACCCGGACCCGGACCCGGACCCGTGCGGGTCCGGGTAGGGTCCGGGTCCAGGCCCGGGTCCTACCCGACGGGGTCTACTTGTTGCAGACTTCGCTCCATCCGATAGCATATGGATTAGTTTGTGACATAGATCACCTCTTCTGTCGAGAACTACAATTAGTTATAGTTGTAGGAAAATATTGGGGTATTGAATCAGCCACAAGTCAGCACCTCATATCGCAATGTAGCCAAAAAGCAGAATTATACTACTTCGTTTTCTATAATGACAATCATCTGGTGTGTTCAAGCTAAAAAATGAATAGTTTGGACATTCATAGTAACAATTATCTCCATGAAACTTCATATATTAATGTTAATGATAAGTGAAACGGAAGTTATAATTTCATGGTATTTGTTATTAACAAATTTTGATTAAAGATTTTTTAATAAAAAATAATACCAGTTTTTTTGTCATTTAGATTCAACATTTATACAATTAATAACACGATTGATTAGATAGTTTAATGGGAGTTTTTCTGCAATAGTTTTTTCTTTCAATTGTTTTATTATAGAATGATCAGTTTTTGGATGAGAAAAACATAACAGGCGAAGATAATCATAATGATCACTATTGATTTTCTTAATAATATCTGTTAAAACAGATTGAATATTCATAGGATCTAAATTATCAACTTTGATTTATGATAAACGACGTAATAGTTTCAACAAGAAAAAAATCTTTAAGACGAAAAATCTTCTCCAGATATAATTTTTTAACTTTATTTATAGCTTTTATTAAAGTAACAATAACAGATTCTAAAGGATCCATTTCTTTTGTTTCATGGGATAAAAAAGACGCAGTTTTAATGAAATAAATTCTGGTAAAAGATTAATCAGTTTAATTAATATACGAATAAAAATTGTGTCTTCTTGAAATCCCAGATGGTATATTTGTGATATATTAAAGACATGTATTGTATTTTTTCTTAATAGTTTACGAGTATCATTAGAGCTAGTAAATGTAACACTTAACTGAGTAGATTTAGAAAGTTCAATAAAACTAAAAATGTTGTCATTTGTATATTGATACCAGATTCTTCTAAAATACACAACATAATCTATTTCATCTAAAAAGATCTTGCTGATATATCTATACGGACGTATTGAATAATGGATACATTTATCAACGATTTTAGCTTGAAATATCCAATGACGTTCCATTCAAAATGATGAATTTACTTGATTTGATTTTTCATAAAAAAATAGGATATTTATATCCGTCATCAACATTTTCACGATATTGTAAATGAAATTTTTCTAATTGAGACAATGATTGTATAATTAATTATTCTCATTAATAACCATTTAAAAAATTTGTATATAGGACACTACAAAAGTTTTTTTCTCGGCTCTCTTAAAAGATAAATTTTTAACGAAACAATTCTACCATAATGCTTAGACATCTTTAGGATCATTCTCAAAATTTCAGCCTTGGAAGTCTTGACTTTCATTTTATTTTTGCATTTCTTTCAAACTAGGATTAGCGTATTTTCTAGGTCACTTTTGAATTCTCATGAGTACACTTTCGAAGTATGTTTGTACATGGCTAGTAAATTAACTTAACTTAACTTAACTTATTAGGAAATCCGTGCACATTTATTATGAGTATGAGAGGACTTGGTATCGTTATGTCATATACTAATCAATCGATTTCATTAATTTTGACAGAGTAATTTCAGAATCGAATGTGCAATCCTGTTAGATTACCTTCTCGCTGTTGTAACCGAGGGAACTTTTAATGCTGTTCCGGCGATAATTGGAGATGAGTCTCATTGAACATACGAATGGATAGTAGACACTCTGAGCAACATTTCTACGGCAGTTATTTTCAACTAATCTGATCTGTTTGAAGTTTTACCAAGTTTTGTGCTCCATGGATGCATTATCAGCTTATTGATGACTGAAAGTAGTTCAATGTTCAATTGCACTGTCATTTACCAAAGAAATATAAAGGAACTGATTTCATCTTGTATTCTGCATTATCAGCAGTGGCAGATTATAGTTTTATCATAATGATAAAAATATACTGGAGTAATTGAAAGTCGAAGTCTTACAAACTAATTCATGCATAGCGAAAGCTCGTCGAAATAACAGAAAAAAACCAACGAATCTTATTAATTTTCTTTTACAAAATCTAGATTAACTTAGTTCATCCCTTTAGAATCTAGCAAACGGAAGTCTACCTATTAATAACTGCCTAACATATGTTTTCAAAGCTGCCCAATAGCTTAATACGAGACTAGTCTTTGAAGTATTAATTTTTACTATGAAAATGGAGGTCCACAAACAGTCTGAGTTACAAAGGAGTTTTGAGCAGAAAATCATATTGAACCACATTCAAATTCAACATAATCTCCGTATCCTTACTCGTTTGACTTCCAAAATTCAAATACAAACTACATGGAGTTGAATTCAATAGCGACACCACAATGTTTAATGTGTTACAACAAGTCATTATCCACCTCACCAAAGATAATCTCAAAAACCACTTCTATGATCTAGTTTAATCGCATGCACAAGTGCATTGTTGCTGATGGGTAGTACCTCGGAACAACCTTGGAGTTGGTCCAAATTCTTGACTTGACCAGCAAAAAATCGGCCGGTCACAATTCTTGATTTAACTGGCGAAAACCCAATGCGCTACATGTATTAATTTACCAATCAGTTCTTTTGCGAAACAGCCTAGCATTTCAATTCTACAGAGACATACAATATCGAACTCATATAATTCTTGGAGTGTCTAATAATTAACAACAACTCCTATTTTAGTCTGTTACGTATAGTATGCTAATATGAAGGACGAATCAAGATTTCTTTCAAAAAATTTCGACTATAAACTCACAGCAGCTAACATTGAACAACAGCTGACTATCATTTGGGTTTTTTCAAATAATGATACAATTCTTTTACAGCTGATAGGTTTGGTCTATTCTTATTTGAAATGCTTAGTTACATAACACAGTTGAAAGGTATTTCAATCCGCGAAAAGAACGCTACCATAGAGAGAAATATAAGATTAGCTAATACGTATAGCTTTTACATTAGAATTCCTATTTAAGGTTTATTAATACTTCGATATTATAGCGGTTGCATGATGCCAATAGTTAGAAAGACCTGGGCAACACAACTGATTTTGTTGAAGTTTTTTTATGAAAGCATGAGCTGAGTAATAGTGGCTATTCAAATTCTGTGAAAGTTGGTTAAAATTACTCCACAAAAGCGAGTTCGAAATTTCAACATGAGACATCTTTAATTTAGGCCGACATCAACTTTTATAATTTGGCTGACTTTTTGTGAGCATAATAAATTCATTCAACATGATATGAAGCTCTGATCATAGAATAAAAAGGTGTTGGCGATTATTTAGAATTGGGATTTCGAATACGATTGAAATTTTATCAGTAGAGAACTTTTAGGTTCATATCTCTTGGCCATTGACACTGTGAAAATCTTTAAAAACAAGCAAAACAAGCAGGATTTAGTGCCAAAAAAACTTTAAAAAAGATCGGTAAAAGCCGATGAAGATCGACCGGTCTTGAAAGTTGAACCGGACCAGACCGGCAACCGATCGGTTCTGTTCCAAGTCTGCCTTGGAACCCAGGCTAGAACTAGCCTTTGAATATTTGTCTAAAGGGCTGGAGAAAATACTTTTGTAGTGCCTCGTATATCTTGAGACTGGCTAGTAATACATAAAAATTTCGATTTCGAATAAATTTTTTCAATTAATATTTCAACGTAATCAAATTGTAAGCATCATATTTCAATCAAAACATAAGTTAAAGTTGCTAATCTAATTGGTAATATGGTTCGAATGCTTCGATCAACCTTGTTTATAAGTTGAGGGTGTAGGTGTGAGGTAGGATATCAATATCTGTTCATTGCAACCAACACCCACGCTCACATCCCACCCATACCCTACTCACACCCACATCCACATCTACCACTGCATTCACTCACGCACAGGTAATTATTGATCGAAGAGTTCTATCAGATTTTCTATTGTTCACAGTGGCTTTACTATTACATTGAATCTGGCTGATCGGTTCTTGTTCACACACTAGATTGTTATTGCTGTTGAGACAAGCTAACAACATCTAAATTCTAGAGATGGGTATGTATTAGGGATGCCACTTTATATTTTTTCTTTCAATTCAAATTATACATGAATGAAATAATCAGAACTTTAAATTCAAAATAAATTTAAATCATCGATAATATTATAAATAACGAATTTGAATTATTTGCATTTCGTAATTTGACTTCCAAGATACATGCTACATGAAGTTTCAAGAAAAAGTAGAATGAATCTCCTATTTTTAATAATGAAAAGAAATAATTTAAACGTATTTCCAATTAACAGAAAAATGTCATCCCTAGTGCCGATAGGTGGAACGATATGAATTCTTGTTTTGCTCACCCACACCCATCTAGCCTCACGCAAGATGTTTGTTATCTTTTAGACTTTTATAACCATGCGTGTTATTCGCTTTCGAAGTGGCGGATATAAGAGAAAAAATCCGATATGTGCGAAGTAACTTAATTATATTTTCTTTCATTATCAAATTCTATCACTGACCGGATTATTCTTAGGAGACTGCTATGCTCCTGTTGCTCATATTGATGGATCCTGACGATAGCAATAGCGTTGAAGGAAAGGAGAGAATGGCGCAAACTTTACTTCACCATTTACACTGTGGCAATAGGAAAGTTTATTTTTGTAGTAGATAGGAATGAGAAAAGTTGAGAATAAAAATCGATGACAAAATAGAAATGAAATTCATCGATTAAGAAAAATTTAAATGTTGCAGTCACACTTGTATTTGATTGTTCACTTTAGAGAAAATGCCATGCGATGTCGGTGTGACCATTGCCAAGTTCACCAGCTACGGCCATGAAACCATCGTACGTTAAGGCAATATTATCTAAAGGCATGGAATGAAGTTATTGATACTATCAAACAGCTGGCATTTACCTTCTTTACAATCGCGACAGCGATCAACAAATCGTACGACTATTTCACCTTTGCTTCCTTTAACGATCGCTTTCTTTTGACAGACTGGATTAGTACTTGGAATACCGCTGACAGTGTATGGATCAAATTGAACTTGATTGAGAGCAGCCGTATAGATTTTTTCATCGTTTTCATCTAATGAACGAGCTCGACTTGTACCACAGGTGCTGTAATCCGAACCGGCCATGCTCTCGTTGTAATATGTCGCTTCTCCTTTGAATTCACCTTCGAGTGAAGCTGGCTGCTTTCTGGACAATAACTTGCCGTAAACGCAATTGGGGCCATAGGAGTCACAGCTAGATTAGAACGGATTTTCCTATGGATAAAATATCTATATTATTACGTACTATCCTGCTCTACTACAGCAGAGACCAGCACCACAAGCAGTGTAGCGACAGTTACCATAGGCGGCCCCTCCACAATGGGCGGCAGTGTTTCCACAACTAGAGAATAAAAATGGAGCATTATTAGTAAGGGATACAGTCATTTCGTTTTCATCTCCTACAATCCATATGAGGAACAACATGATCCAGCTGGACAACCCGTACCGCCACATAGACCACTGCCACCACCGCCAACATAACCACCACCACCACCACCGCCAACATAGCCACCACCGCCTCCACCACAGTGTTCTGCAGTAACGCCACAGCTAAGTGAAACCAATAATGTGGTGATTAGAAGAAAATAAATGAGTTTACGTACTAGCCATATTGCGAACAGCATTGTCCTGCTGGACAGCCATAAGTTCGACAACCACCAGTTGCTGCACCGCAGTATTCAGCGCCTGTACCACAATAGCCGTATGCGGAGCAGCAGAGACCAGCTGCGCAGCCACCACCAGCCAAGCAGTTACCAGCTAGATATGAAAAGAGGTTGCATTTTTGATGATATGCATTCAAGTTTACCTACCAACGCTGTGCATCAAGGACAGCAAGAGAAGGCTCACACTAGTTGCAGTTGCCAGCATTGTTTTGCTTGTGCGCACGCTAACGTCGAAATGTTGGTTCTGAATGTAAAATGAAGCTCAAACCCTATTTATTTGTCCGAGGACAACCATCCCTTATTCCTAGTCTTCATTTAATCACATCAGAGCATTTTAATCCGCGAGCAAATGTCCACAGAATTATAGGCTCATAAATATCATATCGCTGATGCTTAGTATTCATTTGACATTTCAGCATACTGTACGAAAACATTGGAGTTTGGCGCAAGAATACAATGTTCTATAGAGAGAGAATAGAAGCAGACTAGCCGTTGACTAATCTTTGAGTGATGGTCGAAAGAAGGGTCTTCGTAAAATGAGTAGAGAACAGTATGTCTAGGGTCTCGTTTCCCGTTTGTACTTGATATTACAAGCAAATAAACTAATCTTGACATTTCTCTATTTGAGAAGAGATCAAGTGGATTGACGACAAAAACAAAAAAAAACATTCTTTTCGAATACGATAACGTCAAAACTTAGCATTTCTCTTAATGAATCGAGTGAAGATCAACAGTAAGAGCTGAATTTTACAATAGGGCACATTGATGTTGGTTGTTATTTTTATTCGTGCAGATCCGAGTTTCACTAATTTTTCGTCTCATATCTCATCATTGAAACAATCATTAATTTCATCGAAGGACATTAGAGACGTGCTATGTGTATTGATGTACAGAGAGATTTGAGATGTTGTTGACTTTTCGTCGTTACATGTGGTAGGTACCTATGGAAGGACACAAGTTTTGACAAGAAGAATTCGATTTATTCTCTTAGCAGGAATATCACTTATGCGAATATTTGCTTCATGAGTCGACACACAGGACATTTTTCTCAGTGTACAGTCGGTTTCAACAAAAGTCGACCAAATGAAATAGAATTATGAAAATTCAAGTTTGACACTAATAACAGTAGTTGTTGGAATGTATTGAATGGAAAAAGAGAACTTGTTGAAAACTACCAATACATTGCGCGCTTATAGCGGTAGAGAAGAATATGGAGAAGAAGTGTTGCTGTGGTTGAATTAGTATTATTCTAGCTGTTTAAGAAAGATAAAGAGCACAGATTTCAAGAATGTGGCTCAATGGTACGTCAACGAGACATCGTTCAGATGATATCATTAGCTCACTAATACTACCGACAGCAGGCATCAGCACTGATGAAGACAAAAATATTGTATATGGCTGTTGGACATCGGTTGTAATGCTTAGTTGTCTCCGTTAAATGTTATTTATGACATCGATAGGGCCAACACTGCCATAGAAACATACTTCGAGTATTCAAGCATAGAAAAATGGTCATTTCGATTACTTTATGAATACTGTCGACTCCTCTAATGTCTGGAATAGAACCAAAGTATTAATTTCGCTCATATCGAGCACTAAGACTCGATCGATTGCTTACAATCACTGAACTAAGAATAAAAGGAACGAATTGCCATAGTGCAAACTCGGTATGGTTCCATTTTCAATGTGACGGTTGTTGTCGTTAGATTTCGTAACTGTTGAAGCGACAGTTTATTTTTTCGAAAAATAGCATTGCTGCGACTTGATCGCTGTTTTCGAATTATTCATTGGCAACAACACCGGTATAAGGTCACTGACAACGAGAACACCTTTAATAATATCCTCCTGTGGCACCTCAACTGACACTCCTTCGCTTAGGTAGACAGATAAGTAAACGGCCAAACGGCTGCCTTAATGCGTTTAATAGTCGGGTGCGAATATGGGCGTGACTCTTTGCGATACATCCTGCACTCACACACGATCTTTCTGCCTAGAAATATCTCTAAATAGAAATTCGTTATGGTTGACATACTAAAAGCAATTTTGTCGAAAGAAACATAAGCTAGTTCTAAAAGCCAGTGAGAAAACTCAATCTTGCGATGAGGAATACAGTTCAGAAACACCGGTTCTACGTGAAAATTCCACAAACTATATATTTTGATGCTTTTCTAACAGATAAAGAAAACTGAATTTCTCTCTCAGAATAGAAGAGTAAGCTCTGATACAGTGTCTTGGTATATCGTTACTTTTGGCGACCTTCTATTGAGAAAGTAGATAGTTTTTGCATGACTCAACAATAGTATATTTTTAATATTATCATAAATAGTTGATATATGTACTTTATGTTTTTCAAGTATGTTCTTGGCTGAAAAAAGCATTTCTTCGTTAGAAATAGATTATGAATGAAAATTCACAAAGAGGATTCTCAAAAAACCATTAAAAAAATCAAATATTTTGCAAAATTATTGATGCATAGTTTCCAAAAACTCAATACTCTTGGAAAATATTAACTAATAAATGCATGGCCTTTTAAAAGGAATTTTGAAATTTTCATAGACATAATCCTTTATAGAGAATGCCCTTCTAACACACAAGATGACTGTCTATTCCGAGGTGTGCGGAAGAGAGAGGTTGAGGAGTAGCCAATTCTAGAAACTTACTTCATTGTCGGTGACTGAAAATGTCTAATCATGTGGCAGATTCGCTCTTTATATTATAATTTTTAAAAGAAACGATACTTGAAGACATCAGAGTAAATCGGAGTGACAAAAGAACATACGGAACAATCTGTTTCTATTAGACTTTATCATTCTGATTCTTAACATTCTCACATTTGCGAAGTATATCATTTTATGTATCCCTGATTCGGCATTCGCACATCATCAGAATCATTTCATCGCTCTAACAACAGCTGTATGACATGTTCATGTATAATCAGCGTGTTGTGCCAACTGTTTATGCTAGAACTCTGTTGAAAGATATTGTTTACTAACTGAAGATTAATTGTGTACAATGGCAAAAACAAACTGTTTACGATTCTGGTGTGTAGAGGCATAAGTAAGTGTAAGTGTATGAAATTTAAGTGTTCAAAAAGCTCGTATAAATAGTCAGTTGTATCATCATACGGCTCGAACAAATTGATAACTTCCGTATTGCAAGTCGTATGAAAGGGGACTGACACCATTTTGCACAGAACCTGTATAACGGCTTTGATCAGGGAGAATTACCTTAAGAGTCCGACTTTGTCCACGTCGAACTAAGCCTAAATGTACAGCAGTTGTGGCCACATCGGGATCATCAGTATAAATAGTTTGTAACGTTCCCGACTAAGTACATTGTATGCGTGATGTTTGTCCTCTTTGTACTATTTCTTCTGATCTTATATATTGTCCTTATCTTTCTGTCCTCACTTTATACATCATGTTGTACTTTGTTCCTATCCTATCGTGTCCTTATTATCCTTTCCTTTCATATTTCTCTCTTCTCTATGATGGTTACATATATAAGCGTGTGCTTCGTATGTAAACGACGCGATTCTTGATAGGACGAAATACAATAAAGCGTAGTTCCATCAGCGCTCACTCTTCTTCTATCCAAAAATCGTCATAACATGCATCCCACTCTTCACACTTCCTTGCTGAAACGAGGGCTTTCTACAATGTGAATCAATTCTCAATCATCGGAAGTTTTTCATTCAATACTATTTCGATATCATCCAACAAAATGATTAATATCTACTCTCAGTCTTTCGAAAACTCAAGATGTACCATTGGCATGCAACGATACTTGTCGTCTATGTTTGCTAATCTGTGAGAAAAACTATATATATGAACATAATCAGCCCGAAAAATAGTCACCTTCTTCTCTATATAGTAGTTTGAGCTATTTATTCATTGCGAAAATTCTTTTCAGAATCTCTCCTCTTTTGTTCCAAAAGTAGCTAAGTCAAAGTGTCATGAAGAAGACAATCTGGTCTTCTCATTCAATATTTTAATACCTATTAACAATCGTATTTTACTGAACAAATGTTAACGTGTTTTTAACTCTTTACGAGAGAAATAGCGTGATAGGAAGAAAAATCTTTCGTTTGTTTTCTGTAACGTGACTATTAGCCTTTTGTATCAATGAAGTAGTTCTAGTACTACTTTTTTGTGTTGTTCCATTTAGAAAATAGATGAAATTGAGTTGTGACAAAATAATTTAGAATATCGTACTTGTTGGTAGTGCATTTTGATCCTTCAATGTTCGCGCACGAAGCTTCACTGAAACAATAACAAACGTCGTTATCATCATGAATGCTGCAGCGCATAAGATGAGTTTAACCGAAATGTGTATTGATAACCAAAAATGATCTCACGCAAAAACGTCATTGTTTTTGATGGAGAATGATATATGCTAGAATTGTTAGTTAATGGACGAAGT